CGGCCATCGCTCTACCATTAAGTCGGGCATGTCCTCATACAGGTGGATTTTCGACGACAGCTTAAAAAAAATCAAAAATAGCCAAGAGCACGCGCACACACACACACACACCAAACATAGCCGAAAAATCGTCCCCGGACTGGTTCCTGACTGTTTTTGGCTATCTATCCTGAAAAAGGGCATGCCCGACTTAACTCCCTACCAGCAGAAAGAGCAGCGTTGAGAAGAGGGAACGGAGGCGTTTGTTTCTGGTCACGGCGAAGCCGAGCCGTGACCGCGAAGAATTCCCCGACCTAAGTAGATCTCAGGAAGGGTCCGAAAACGGGAGCCACACGGGAGCCCAGGAAAGGGAGCGAGGAAGAGAACTCAGGGCACGATGGCCCCCCAGAAATTCGAGCCGGATGAAAGGGGACTTCCGCGATAGACGAACCAGACTGACTGACACCAGCGCGGTGTCGCCCTTGGATTGGCAACGATGGCGCAAGGATGCTACATATAGGAGCGAGAGGAAAAACAACACGAAGGGTTTTGGCACCACTAACGGTACAACGCATGTGCACCCATGCCACTGGGTACCCGGCGATCTGAACCAAGGTTGATGCACGCCCGTGCTCTAAGATGCAGTTGAAAGGTATGGTGTGGCAGCGCTGTCGGCGGCGACAAGATCCGAACCTCCGCTGCCAAACAACATTACATGGGGGTTTGGCACAGCCAAACCACCATGCAACGTCAGTTTGTTCATCCGTTGACAGCGGCACGCGTCGGGGCAGCAGAACGCAGTAGCGCGCGAGGGCATGCAGGGCCGGCGATGTGGCCGGCCAGCTGCCAGCGCGATTTCGGCAGAAGTGCCGAAATCCACGTAGGATCGTTTTGGGCGCGGTATTTGGCACAGCTGCAACGCACTGCCAGGCGCCGCGGCCTTGCGTTTGTAGCGCCAGGCCCCGCGCGCTCCTCGAGGCGGGAAAAGAAGCTCTACACAAAGGAATCGCGCGTGCTGTTGTGGGGCCGGCGAAAACGATCGCACACAAAGGAAATTCCTTCGTGTGGCCCCCGCGGTGGCAATGTAACCAGACCTCGTGGCACAGAAAGGAATTATAGCAACGCCTTGTGGGTTGCGATTTTCGCGCGCGGTGACAGCTCCGAGCTGGAAAGGAAGGGGGGGCGGGACAAGGCCAAGGAGGGGGACAGGAAAAGAAAGAGGAGGGTGCGAAAGGAGCAAAAGAAGCAACGGAATGAAGCCAGGACGCGCGCAAGCGAAGCTGACACTGCGCGCCGAGACAGCTGTTCGTTCGGTTGGCCGTGCGGCCTATGAATAGAAAAAGGGCTGTTTGCTGCCTATCGAAAGGACTTCTTGGGAAGGAGACCCGCGCTCTCTTCCCAACCCCCTTTTCCACACCCCGTTGCGAAACCGCGACGACATGTTCTGGCACGCAGGCAGAGGACTGCCAACTGCTGGTTAGCGGCCTTTCCACCCGTCACGGATTCCAAACAACTTCGGCCAGCTAAACGCACTTGCCACGCAAACCGCCAGCTCCAAGCACCGACGCCACCCCGATCCCCGCATCCGTGCCAGGTACCCTCTCAACGACGCCCCCTTCCGGCGTAAAACCAATAAAACCAATAAACCGTTCTCCTGTTCTGAACAGAACATCGCGCTGCTCTCCTCCTCCTCCTCCTCCTCCTCCTCCTCCTCCTCCTCCTCCTCCTCCTCCTCCTCCTCCGCCTCCGCCTCCGCCTCCGCCTCCGCCTCCGCCTCCGCCTCCGCCTCCGCCTCCGCCTCCGCCTCCGCCTCCGCCTCCCCCTCCGCCTCCGCCTCCGCCTCCGCCGCCTCCCTCCTCCTCCTCCTCCTTCTCCTCCTCCTCCTCCTCCTCTTCCTTCTCCTCCTCTCCCCCTCCTCCTCCCTCCTCCTCCTCCTCCTCCTCCTCCTCCCCCGTCCCCCTCCTCTCCTCCTCCGTCCTCCTCCTCCTCCTCCTCCTCCTCCTCCCTCCAACTCCTCCTCCTCCTCCTCCTCCTCCTCCTCCTCCTCCTCCTCCTCCTCCTCCTCCTCCAACTCCTCCTTGCTTCGACCCGCGCGACCCGTCCCCATACCCATCCTCGTCATCCGCACCACCACCGGCGCCGGCACCAACAGCAGGGCAACGGAATCTTGCTGCCACCGCCGCGGGGAAAACAAAAAACCGGCGCTGGCGGTGCGCCGCTGCCCAGGTCGGGGGCGCGCAAACATGGATCAGCGATCCATGGACTAGTCGCGCGGACGCCACATCCATGGATCGGGGAGGTGCCCTCCCCAAAATGCGGCCGGTGCCGCCTCGCTCGGCGGCTGAAATCCGCGATTCCCCATGGAAACGGGACCCGTCGCTGATCCACGCACCCTTAATCCATGTTTGAAGGGGCCCTGGGACACACAAATAAATACACACAAATAATAGAATTCCCAATAGTTCCCCATATTTTCTGGGTTTTTGTCTCCCCCCCCACTTCCCATATTTTCCCATATGTTCTGGGGAATCGACGATTCATTGTGTCTGTGTGTGTTTTCCCCCCCTGAATGTTTGCGATCGCCTGCTCAGGGACGGCGGCCCGAACCCGGGACGGGGAGAGGGGGCTGGCAGGGGGGGGGCTGTTCGTGGGCCTCCCCCCCGGCGTCCGCGGGTGGCCGCGTTGGGTAAATGTTCGGCCCCTGGGACAGGGGAACGAAGAATGACAGAAACATCAGAACTCGGAGGTCCGCGCGGATTTCTCGGATCGGCGCTGGACCCCCCTCCTTGGCGCGCGGAGCGCGCCAGGGGCGGCGCCGGAGGCGCCGCCAGGGGGCCCCAGCGCGGATCCGAGAAATCCGCGCGGACCTGCGAGTTTTTATGTTTATGTCATTTTTCGTTCCCCTACGGGAGCTGGGAAACGGCCTATACAGGGGCCCAGGGGCACACAAGTAAATACACACAAATAACAGGACTCCCCCTTATTTCCCCATATTCGTTAGGGTTCTCCGTCTTCGTGTCTGTGCGTGTCTTCCCCTCCTGAGTCTAAGGCAGCGCCCTGGCGGCCCCAGATGAGCGCCACCTGCTCCGAAGTATGGCCGCCCCTCCGTGCGCTCGCGACCCCGTCTGGCACTGGCGGGCATCTACCCCGACGGCCACGGCTCCCCGCCCTGAGGCACCCAGAACGGGGTCTCGGCCAAGACCCTTGGCTTGCCTAAGTGGCCCTGCGCGTCCCGGGGTGCACCATGACCCCGCGGCCCCACGGCGATGCACCCGAAGTTTCCAGAAACCCACCTGTGAAAACAAGCCTGCACGCCACGAGTTGTTTCCCCGAACGCCCAGAATCCGCCGGACAGGAGTGGTAAGCACAGTCTGGTTCCCGAAATGGGGCTCCGAAGCCCCATTTCGGGAATCAGACAAATTTGGGCGTGGCTTCATGGGGGGGTCACAAATAGGGGGGTCAGAAACGGTCCCCTTTCGTGCCCCTTTCGGGCCCCTCCGGAGCCCCAGGAGGCTCGTTTAGGCACCGTTTGGGTATTTTTTCGGACCACCCTCGCCACCCCCCCATTTATGACCCCCCTATTACGCAACGCCCAACAAATGCAACCTCCACCCACTCCGGGAGGCTCCACCAGACACGAAATAGAAGGCTACCGGGTCAGAAGCCGGCCGGCTGAAGCAGCCAACCGCTCTCCCGCGGCGGCCAACTAGGCATCCCAGCAGCACCCCGCTGGAACCCGCGGCGTGTCCCGCACTCCCTGCCTGCGAGGCGGACATGTACCCAGTGCCACCACCTGGGGGATCGATCCTCGGAGACCTCGGCAGGCGGCGATTCAGAGTATACGTGGCCACCCCCAGGCCCGAATGTCTGAGTGTACACCCATACGACCACCCTTCGGGTGATAAGGAGGCTGTGTGGGGGGGACATGGACAACTGAGAACGGTGATGGTGATGGCGATGGTGAAAACATGATGATGGTGATGATGATGATGATGAGGACGATGGGGATGACAGTGATGATGATGATAATGATGAGGAGGGTGATTATGATGATGATGAGGATGATGGTGATGATGATGATGATGATCAAGATGATGATGTTGCTGATGATGCGGCTGCTGAGTATGATGAGGATGGTTATGATGATGCCGATGATGATGATGGTGATGATGATGAGGATGAGTCTGAGTATGATAAGTACCAATATGATGTTGATGATGATGGTGCGGCCGATGATGTTGATGATGAAAACGCTGATGCTGATGCTGATGTTGCTGAAGATGACGATGATTATGCATGATGATGGTGATGCTGGTGCGAATGGTCAGATCAGATCAGAACCCATGGGGGGGGGCGAGCAAGAAATGCCGTCCAGCTGCTGCCCCTATGCTCGGGCTACACCCGAGCGTCAGTTTGCGATGCGCGACCGTGCACCTCGCGGCTCACAACAAGGTAATAAGCCCTACTATTGCCGCGGTCCCCTCTGAATCAAACGCAGTGCAGCAGACGTATTTTGGCTGCTCCACTGTGTGCAGAAAACCCCTGCGCGGCAGGATTGCCACGCCTGATCGCTACTGGCGTAGTGGGCTCCTCGGGGCCAAGATTTTTAGCCAGGTCCTTCGAAGCGGCAGAAATCTTCACACGTTTACCGCACCTCAAATCGGCACCCGAGGGACGGCGGACGCTGGGCACTCCTCCTACCACCTGGCCCTTGGAGCCAGACGCGTGCGTTCGCACTCGAGTATTAGGAGGGAGCGAGGTCGAGGTCGAAAGAGGATCAGGACCAGGAGAACGAGGCACGCGGGGGGGGGGGGGGGGAAACGGCTTGCTAGCAGCGTGGCTCAGGCTTCTCACAAGCTGTTCAGCCCGTCGTTTTTTTGTTTGTTATATTTCTTCTTGTTGCTTGTTCATGTGTGTTGTTTTCTTTTGTTTTGTTTTGTTTTGGTTTGTGTTCCCTTCTGGCGTTTCCAAGCTCATGCGCTCAGACCCCTCGCGGGGGCGGTGTCTGTCGTAGGCCCTATCTACTCCTGCATCATGTTCTCGAGCTCCTGCAATCCCGCGTGCATCAAGCGCTCGAGGTGCCCCATGGGGGCGGCCCCCTGCTTGTGCTCCGCGCCCGCCTGGACAAGCGACGCGAGCACTGGTGCGAAGTTGAGCCTCGACGCGAAGCTCAGCGCCAGTCTGGCCTCCCCCTCCCCGTGCGCGTCGGTGATCTTGGCGAGCGGCACGGCCCCGCCCATCTCCACCAGCGCGAGCTGGTTTCAGCTGCTTGCTCAGCTCCTCCAGCCGCTGCTGGCTGGCGCGGCCCACTGCGTTGCCCTCGGCCATCGCATCCTCGAGCACACCCGCGCAGCATGCCACCGAGATCGTGCCCAACTCCCTGGTCTTCTTCTCGGCGTCTTCCTTGGACAGCGTCGCCCTCGCCTCCTCCGCCGTCCTGACCCACGCTCTGACGCGAGCCATTGCCTTCGCTGCCACCTGCACGCCTGATGACACCAGGAACGTCTTCAACTCGATGGAATGTTTCTGCCTCTGCCTCATGGCCAGGTTGAGGATGAGTCGCATCATTACTGGGAAGAACATCTGCATCTGCTTGACGTCGCACGCACAGCTGTCGAGTTCGCTGAGGTCCACGATCTTCGGGTCCTTCTTCTTCTGTCCCTGGCTCCCGCCGCCTCCGTTTGCCACCTGTGCCGAAGGGCCCCGCGGTCCTCTGCGACGTTGCATCTGGGCGGGCGCGGGGTCCTCCTCTGCAACGGGCAGCTCCTGCAACCGCGACATTCGGAGTCGGCTGTGGGAGGTGCGCTGAACCTATGTGTAGCTGTAAATCTTCCAGCGCGCTGAACTCAAGTGCACGCTCCGCTTCCGGGCAAACAAACTACTGCGGGATGACAACAGGGTAGTTGAGCGTGGACTTCTGTGCCATACATCTGCCTTGACGGCACGCAGCTGCGACGTGATTTATAGCCGTTCTACGACACGCAAACGTAGAGGCACACGACGGACACTGATTGGTAATCGTGTACTTGGTGAGCGTGTTCAGCTGTCCGTACTCTCCCCCTCCACTATGTGTTTGATGCGCCCGTAGTGCGTGCACCGTCCTAAAACCTCTTCCCGCACTCAAGACCGTCTCCATTGGGAAGTGAACAAATATACCCTCCCTCGAAGCACTCCTGGTCCTCGTATTGCCTGATGGGGGTCACCGTCGGGGCCTCTAGCCAGAGCTTCCTCAAGCGTTTCAAGTTGAACTTCAAAAACTTGGCACTCAGCTCAGGCACCTGGAAGGCCCCCAAGAAGTCGCAACCTACGCCGCCCAGAAACTCGAGCCCGTCGCCGAGCCCCCCCCCCCCCCCAGGAAGAACACGTCATTCTTGAACTGCAGGGCCCACGGGTTGGTTTTGTCAGTCGGGGTCACCGTAGGAGTGCACGCTGGGGCCCATGGGAACTGTTGAGGCGCCACGTTCTCAAACGCAACCTTCCCAAAGGCTGCCGCGAACTCCTGGGCGCGGCGGTGCGGGTTACGCGCGAGAGCTTGATAGCGTCGGAGCCCAGGCGCGACTATCTCCACGCCGGGGGGCGCCACCTTGATCTTCTGCCAGACGGCTTCCGCGCAGATCGCGGTGACCTTCCACCTCTCTCCCCCCCCCCCCCCCCTCGTTCAGCGGTGGATAGACGGCGATTCCTTGACGCAGTGCACTCGCGCAGCGGACAGCCACCGAGTCGAGCTTCTCAGTCTGGTCCTCGGCCAAAACTCTCGCCTCGAGGCCCGACGCCGAGGCGCCGATCACCCGACTCTGAAAGACCAGCCTCTTCCGATCGAAGAACACGCAGGCCCCCCAGAACGTGCCCATCCCACGCCAGCCGACACGCATGGCAGCACTTCTGGCCTAAATTGCCTCGTCGTTCCGCCCGGAGGTTTGGGCCCGAGCTCCCAGGAATGCCGAGGTCGCCTGAACTTCACCAGCAATGGGCACCCGATGACAATGCAAGGCGCGAGTCGAACGTCGGGAGCCGCGACCGACAAAGCATGGGCTGACCGCCTTGTTTTCCCCACTCTGGGACAGCCCCACATATTCCAGCGCAGCATCGAGGTGCCGATCAGAAGTCTCGACCTGCACCGCTGCGCTGCAAGCATCAGTAACAACATGTGCACATGTAAGGTCATCGGCGCACTTGCGCACCCCAAGGTCACTGGTCTTCTGCGTGACGGGGCAACCCGCCGTCAGCTCGCGCACCGCTGAGGACGAGAACAGCGCCTTCCTCCACTCCTGGGTCGGCTGCTCGAACGCATTCCTGAACTTCGTCCCAGCGTCGGAATCGCCCATGGAACAGCCCACTTTGTTGTGATAAGTGCCCTCGCCGTCGTGCGCATTCACTACGCAGCCCGTACGCCTGCGCCTCGGCATCATAATATGAGCGTCCCCTGCCGTGTACATGTTCAGGACTGTCTGGTCCGAATGAGCGTGATCCACGCTAGCGGGGGCGTCCGCCATGCCGCGCTTCGTCGCGATGTGGCCCAGGTTCGCTGCGCGAAGACGCCACTGCAGAACATTTCCCGCCACCAGGGCACCAGCGCGGGAACGGCCTGAAACATGGCAGCGGTCTTCATGCGGTAGCTCCAGGTCTGCTCGTAGCTTACGCGCCCCCACCCATGCCTTGCCAAAGCTGCAAAGTCAGTGCATCAATCGTGTTCCCCGTGTCCGCGGTTTGTTGTTCGACTTGCTCACCCGATACGTCTGAGAGAAACTCCACCATGCGTTCAAGCGTTGATGCTGTCGTATCCCAGCCAGTTGTGCCAGTTGAAACTCTTGTAGAACAGGTCCGATAACTTGTTGTCTCTCATTTCCAGGCTTGCAGGTGTCACGACAGGACATAAGAAGGCACCATCCCTGCAGACAGGGACCGCTGCGGCGAGGCGCGGCGTCGATGTGCACTGGATAACTTCTCGGTTAGTCGTCCCAGGTCGATATTCGCTGTAGTCCAATGCTCCATCTCTGGATAGAATGGGTAGTTCCTCTCCGACGCCTGCGCGATGAAGGTATCTCGATCTACGCGTTCTGCCTCGAGCCCCCCCTCACCTCCTGCGAGCGCCAGATCTTCGGTCCAGGTCTGCAGGTCTGGTTGAGAGCCTGGAAGCACATACATGTTTCGTTTCCGAGGTCGCAAACCGTTACCCGCCATCTCAAAACACACTCTCCAGGCCAGGTCGTCACGATTTGTGCGTAGTGCTGTCTGCAGCTGGTCTGTGAGGCCAGACTCGCGCTCAAGTCGAAGACGCGCTCTGGCCTCCTTACATCTTCTCGTACACTGACACAGGTGCCGTACACTCTCAAACTCCCCATCCAAATTGTCTCGAGTTGCTGTTCGTGCTCGGAGAGCCTCTTCTCGCTCACGTACCATACGAACGTACCGCTCGGGTCGGTCCTTTCTGCTTGTGGAATATCGTCGCTGAGCACAACTTTGAAGTGTAGAGACCATTTCCATCCACGCCGGTTCCAGTGTATGTGTTCGAATCCAGGAAGCTGCCTCGTTGCAGCCGTCCGTACTGAGCTTCGCCTCTAGAGCCTGCTCCACTTCGTCACGGAACAATTGCGCCTCCTCCTCGTTCCTCATCGCTTTGCTGAGTGTGTAAAAATCCGAAGTGTGGCCTGCTGTCCGTGGCGCCGTAAACGTGAGCTTGTAATCTCTGCAACTATGATCATGTGAACCAGGATTGCAGCACTAGGAATCGCTCGCACCCGTCGTGCGAGGCTGTAGGCAATTGCACATCTTTGAACTCGAACAGGCCAAGGCGACGATATAGCCAGATGGTCGATGTAGCTCGCACTTTTATGTCCATGGTACGCCGGGCCGCACGCAAAGAAGCTTGTGACAACCGCCGTATTGTTATCCTCCAGCCATTCACGATACGAGGTGCCCGCCGAGTGTTCCTGACTACGACTGAAGGGCCAAATGCTGGTGCTACACGTTTCCTGCAACACCCCGTCACACGATTGTATGCCCATCCCATCATTCAAATCTGTAGATGCGATAGTCATGTTCCTGTTCGGCGTGCCCTCCGTGATGTTCATCAGCGTCTCTGTAAGCCTGCGCGCCGTGGTATCGTAGCGTGGTACGCCCTTCACCTCAGTGCACCGCGGGGGGAAGTAACTCACAATCAGGGTGAGGTCGAACTGCGAGGCCTTTACACGTATGGCTCCCAGCCGTCCGTGTAGTGAACTCTGTACTGGCCAGAAGTGCTGAAGGTGGGAACGTCGAAAACGCCGTCGATTCAGCCATATCTCCACACCGCAGCTTTTGTTGGCAAGACTCCCACGTCCGCCACCCCATCCGAACTTCAGCATCAAAAAATGCTCGTGATAGAACATATCATGGTAGGTGGGGTGGTCCCGATTCTTCTTCGCCGTCGTGCCAGAGAGCAGTACAATATCTGCGAACTTCACCTGCTGAGCAACTTCCAATCGCCTGTCATAGTCGGACAGGGACATGGGGTTCCATTGCACTATTTTCATCAGAAGGACCGCGCATCGCAGTGCCGAAAGAAGGTAGAAGGCAGCGCACGGGAGCGAACTGGCCCTCATGCTTCTGGAATCTCGGGCCAGGGCTTGGTGCTGATGATGATGATGACGATGATGATGATGATGTTGATAATGCAGAGGCATTATTGTTTCATCACAGCTTTCCAGAGGAAGCATGGCACCCACTCAGGATGTGGGGAATGAGAAGGAGGGAGAGAGATGGGGAGAGATAGAGAGAGAGAGAGACAGAGAGAGAGAGAGAGACAGAGAGAGAGAGAGAGAACAAACAAAAAAAGAACTGCTGTGCGGTGCGGCGCGGACCTCGTCGCTACGCACCTCCCTCACCGCGACGTCCCGGCCGCGCCACCTGGCCCACCAGCACGAGGGAAGTACAGTGGGTTCGTGTCGTGTCGACCCCAACGCTGGCTGCTGACAACGCCCGGGTCGTTCAACCTGAAACAGTCGGCCGCTTCCGAAACGTAAGATCGTTCAACATCGACCGATTCTGGGTCGCCATATGCGTTCAACACTGAACGCGAGTGGCGGGGTCGCCGCCTGTCGACACGACGCGAACCTGCCGTAGGGGGGAGGAGGGGAGGGGGCGAGATCCCCCGTCTCCTCTACCCGCTCCTCAACCAGTTGTTTTCTGTCGTCCCCTATTCCTTCTTTCTTTGGCCTCCCATCTCCTCCTCCTCCTCCTCCTCCTCATCCACCCCCCTGGTTCGGCGCTTGACCTAGCTGGGGGCGCCTCCTGTTCCGCCGCTGGCGCGCTCCGCGCACCAAGGAGGGGGGTGCAGCGTCGATCCAACAAGAAATCCGCGCGGACCTTCGAGACATTACGTCGATGGACGTTAATCAGATTCGATCCTCATCCTCCTCCTCCTCCTCCTCCTCCTCCTCCTGCTCCTCCTCCTCCGCCCCATCCTCCACCCCTTGTCATTGCACATGGTTCCTCCCTGTCGCATCCGCAGACGTGAGCCAGTAGGGCGGGCTATGCGTTTCGCCCGCGCCCCCCTCAACATTTTCTCCTGAAGCTGGAACTCTGCTCCAGCTTCACGGCTGGGGGGCGGGTGGTTTTCAAAATGTGGCTCTCGCCGTAGCGCCGCGCACACTCGTCTCAAAATTGTGCAGCAGTTCGCGGATGAAGGGCGGGACGTGTTCAAAATATAGCTCTCGCCGTAGCGCCGCGCACATTCGTTTTCAAACAATTTCCGAATTTCGCGGATCGAGGGCGGGAAGTGTTCAAAATGTGGCTCTCGCCTCGGCGCCGTGCACATTCGTATCATAAGTGTCCTCATCCCTCCTCCGTTTCTTCGTCATCGTCCTCCCCCTCGTCCTCCCATCCTCTTCCTTATAAGCGACTTCCCCGCGTCGCACCCCGAGGCCAGTGCTTAGGGCGGGCCAGGCGTTTCGCCTGACTCTTCCTCACCACTTATGACCCTGAGGTCTGCACACTGAACAGTTTCACAGATGGAGGGCGGGTCGTGTTCAAACTGTGATTATCGCCTTCGCGCCGCGCACGTCATATACGATTGCAATCGTTTCAAAGATTCGTATGGTCGATTTCCCGAGCGCAACGTTTTGGCAGGATTTGGGTTTGCCCGGACGCAGCAGTCACATTGGATCGCGGTCTTGGAGTCTTAGAAACTGTTCTGGCACGATTTAAACTTTTCCGACCGCAGCAGTCACACTGACCCGCGGCGCTGCAATTCAAATACACATGTTGTGGCACGACTGAAGGTTCTCGGCCGATTGCCTTCCAATGGGCCTTGGAAGAGATTATTTCAAAGACCTCTGACGAGGGAACTTGGAATAAAGGTGCATTGCAACATCGGTGATGCATCTTGGGTTTACATTGGTCCTTTTCCTCCTCCTCCTCCTCGTCTTCCCCCTCCTCCTCTTCCTCCCTCCTCCGTTTCCTCCTCCTCCTCCTCTTCCCCTCGTCCTTTTCCTCCTCTTCCTCCTCCTCCTCCTCCTCCTCCTCCTCGTCCTCCTGGTCCTCCTCCTCCTCCTCCTCCTCCTCCTCCTCCTCCTCCTCCTCCTTTTCCTCCCCATCCTCCTCCTCCTCCTGCTCCTCCTCCTCCTCGTTCTCTTCAACCCCTTCGTGCGTATCGTGAACCGCTGATTCACTGAAAAAACGTGGGGGGCATGCACCACTTGGCTCCTTTTCCTCCTCTTCCTCCTCCTCCTCCCCCCTCCTCCCCCTCCACCCCCCTCCTCCGACTCATTTTCCTTTCCACCTTCTTGCCATTCATCCCCTTTCCTCCTCCTCCTCCTCCTTCTCCTCCTCTTCCTCCTCCATCGAAACTCCAGCCGGTGGCCTTTGATCCCACCCGCGTTCCTCCCCCCACTCCCCTACCTCCTCCTTCCTGCCCCTTTCTCCTCCTCCTCCTCCTCCTCCTCCTCCTCCTCCTCCTCCTCCTCCGTCTCCTCGCCCTCCTTCTCATCATCCCTCCTCCTCCTCATCCTCCTCTCCCTCTTCCTATAATTAGTAAAAGTAGTGTTACGATTCGTGCTCATATTCGTATGAGTCGTACTCATAGTGTTATTGGCGTTCTTTTCATTATAGATACTCTGCTGCTTCTTCTTCATAGTCGTACTCTTCTTACCTGCATTACTAGTATGGTTGGGAGTGGTCCGATTCGTCTTAACATGAGTAGTATTATCAGTAGTGCCCCTCGTATTCGTAGTACTATTGATAATAGCTGTCTCGTTATTCTTATTGCTGCCTGATAGTACTGATAGTAGTATTTTTAAAAGGATTCATATATGTAGTACATTGTTCGTCATCCTCCTCCTTTTCCTCCCTCTTTTTATATCCGTCCCTTCGTGTTTTCCTCGTCCACCTGCCCTTCCTTTGGGCCAGCGCACGCACGCCGATTCCTCCCCGCGCCCTCGCCGCCGCGGCCAGCAGGGGCGCGTTCTTCGATGGCCAGATCGCCAAGAATTCGAGGCAACCCCACGGGCCAGGCCTTCGGGGCAATTCCATGGGACGCTGGGGCGCGGGAGCACGCCCGTCGGGACAACCCCGCGGGTCGAGCTGGGCGCGGCCGCGCTCAAGCGGGAGGCAACGCGAAACCCAGCTCTGCCCCGAGCTGCTCCGCATCAGCCCTGGAGTTCCCTGCTCTCTTGTCGAACGCCCTGAGCGCCTCCCGCAGGGGCGCTGGCGGCCCGCGTTCCAGGAACTCTCGCGTGGGCAGTCGCAGGATCAGCATGTTCCGCATGCACGCGGCGCGAGACGCAGCCACCGGCGTTCGTCCACCATGCCCGCGCGGCCAGCGTCCCCATCCCTGGCGCAGTCAATGATGACGCCCTTGCGCAGCGCCTCACCCTTCGACGGCGTGGATGGGTAACCACCCGCGCCCCGGACGCAAAGGTTTCCCCGTGCGCCTGGTTAGCCCGGTTTTGCCGCCAGTCGGTTACAACCGGCGTCCCCGACGAAAGAGTTTCCCCTGCGCCCGATTCGGACGCGCATGGGTTACCACCCGCGCCCCCGACATAAGGACTTCCCCCCGCGCCCGATTCGAACGCGGATGGGTTACCATGCTCGCCCCGAACAAGGGCTTTCCCCTGCGCCCGACTCGACCGCGGATGGGTTACCGCCCGCGGCCCGGGCACAAGGGTTTGCCCCTGTGCCCGGCAGCCGTCGTCCTCCTGAATTCCTGTTCCTCCTCGTACTCCCTCCTCCTCCGATGGCTCGAGAGAGGCCCGTGAGGGCTCGGATCACCCTTGGTCTGCTTTCCCCTCTGTGCTGGTATCACAGGCCTCGAACGAACAAACGAACGAACGCCAAATCCGTGCGCACGCCGCGTGGGCGCCCGCACGCGCCCGTTTGGGCGTGGCGGCAGAGGCCGTAGCCTCGATGCGGAAAAATATCTGCTGTGTCTGAGGACCATGCAATGCGAGATACATAAAAAGTTGGGAAATGAGGGAGGGTAGGAGAGAACCTTGGAGTCGATGTCGGCGCTGAGCTCGGTATGCTTGTGTGTGTGTCTGTGTGCTGAGGGAGGGAGGGAGGAAGTCTGTGAAGTCGATGTCGGCGTGATGTTCGATCACGTGTTGATGTAGTGGTGCTCGAGGTTAGACCATGTGGTGGTGTAGTGGTATCGCAGGCCAGAGGAGCCGAACAAACACGACAACTACAGGGTTCCGATGACCCGCTCACATTACCGGCATGAAGTGCGAGCCCCAGAGGGACTCGAGACTTCTTCGCATCTCACTCACAGACGACTCCCGCTTGAAACGTCCGCCATACGGCTGGCGATGATCAAGCGCTATGCCTGGTAGACTTAGCCGATGACCCGAACGGAGTGCCAACCTGAAGCGCGGGCCCCATAGGCAGGGGGCCCCCACGGGAGACTTCCTCGCTGTTCCCTCGCAGACGAGCCGCCCGCGTGAGAAACCCTCGCGGTCTGCCCCCCTTGGGGTGCTCAGGAGCTATGCCTGGCGGGGTTTGCCGATGACCCGCTCGGACGAACAACATTCCGTGCGGGCCCCATGGGCAGGGGCTCCCAACCGAGACTGCCTCGCGATGCGCTCACAGAGGAGGCTCGCGCCCGAGACATCCCCACGATAGAGCCCCCCTTGGGGTGCTCAAGTGCTATGCCAGGTAGGGGCTGCTGATGACCCGCTCGGAGTAGTAACACGAAGTGCGGGCTCCGCAGGGAGGGGGGCCCCGCCTGAGACTTCCTCGCTGTTCACTCTGAGACACGAGGCTCCTAAAGACATCCTCACAATATGCCCCCTTGGGGTGCTCAAGGTGTATGCCTGGTAAAATTGGCTGATGACACGCACGGATTAGCAACATGAAGTGCGAGCCCAATAGGGAGGGGCTCCCGCCTGACACCCCAAGACACCCCAAGGGCGTTCGAAGAGGCTGCCCAATTTGCCAAAATCATTGATAGCCTTTAGGTGTTGTAGAATCCTGGTGTGTCCGGCGGTACAAGACGGCCTCAAAGGCCCCAAAGATCGCCCAAAGAAGGCCCAAGAGGCCTCGGGCCCCAAGACGGCACGACAGGGCCCCAAGACGGCTTACGAGAGCCCCAAGACAGCCCAAAACGGCCCCAAGAGAGCCTCAAGAGAGCCTCGAGAGGGGGGAACAGCAATCGACCTTTCCAGCACTCCGCCCCAAGGGGACCCCCGAGACCCCCACCGGACCCCAGAGGCCCCACCGACGCCCCGGGGAGGGCCCCCCTAAAGCTAGAGGCCCAAATGAAATCCCAGCCCATGAGAGGTCCGTGGAGCAGTCCTCCTCCTCCTCCTCCTCCTCCTCCTCCTCCTCCTCCTCCTCCTCCTCCTCCTCGTCCTCCTCGTTCTCTGCACCTCTGTTCTTCCCCAGAAGGGGGTGCGCGGAGGGGGAGGGCGCAGGGACCAGAAGCCCCCGAGAGGCCACCAAGACACCCCAAAACCGCCTCCAGGAGGACGCCGTCCACTGCGGGGTCCTCGGGTCGTGGCCTGGCCCCCGCCCGCACCCCCCTCCCCAGGAACCGGCCGGGAGGCCCCAGCGGCGACCCCCGACAGACTCACTCGACCCAAGCAGGCTCCACGAAGGGGGACCTCGACGAGGCCCCGAGAGCATCCAAAAAACCTTCCCATCGCCCTCGTCCTCCTGCTTTTCCTGCTCCTCACTCCTACAGTCATCTCCAGGCCTGAACCTAAACGGTGTTTTTCGTTTTCGTTATGTTCCCAACCATCTTGTGGTGTTGGGTCACCGTTTTGAAGAGACAGCGCCCCGCGTCCTCACTCCTCCTCCTCCTCTCCTCCTCCCTCATCCCCCTCCTCCCTCCTCCATCACAATCATCATCATCACCCGTTTCAGCACACCCCTCACACGTTTCGTGGCCCCATAGGGAGCTCCACCAAAGGCCCCAATGGGACCGCCCGCATGCGTCACACACCACCCAATACAGCGCTTCGTCGCCCCATAGGGAGCTCCACAGACGGCCCCAGTGCCACCGCCCGCATGCGTCACGCACCACACAGCACAACGTTTCGTGGCCCCGTAGGGAGCTCCACCGAAAGCCCAAGAGGCACCGCCCGCATGCGTCGCGCACCACCCAGTACACCGTTTCGTGGCCCCGTAGGGAGCAACATCGAAAGCCCCAGAGGCACCGCCCGCATGCGTCACGCACCACCCAGTACACAGCTTCGTGGCCCCATCGGGAGCTCCATCGAAAGCCCCAGAGACACCGCCCGCATGCACCACGCACCACCCAGTACAGCGTTTCGGGGCCTATTTGGAGCTCCACCGAGGGTCCCAGTGGGACCGCCCGCACCACTCACCCAGTGGGACCGTCCGCATGCGTCGCCCCCACCCAGTACAACGCTTCGTGGCCCCATGGGGGCCCCACCGAAGGTCCCAGTGGGACCACCCTCATGCGCCCCGCACACCCAGTACAGCGCTTCGTGGCCACATAAGGAACCCCACCGAAGGTCCCAATGAGACCGCCCGCATGCGCCCCGCACACCCAGTACACCGTTTCGTGGCCTCGTAGGGAGCCCCACCGATCCGTGGCCCATAGAGAGCTCCACCGAAGGCCCCACTGGCAAAGTCCACATGCGTGGCCCCCACCGAGCACAACGTTTCGTGGCCCATGGGGAGCTCCACCGAAGACCCCAGTGGCAAAGTCCGCATGCGCCTCCCCAACCCAACACAACGTCTCGTGGCCCATCGGGAGCTCAACCGAAGGCCCTAGTGGCAAATGCCGCATGCGTCTCCCCCACCCAACACAACGTTTCGTGGCCCATGGGGAGCTCCACCGAAGGCCCCAGTGGCAAAGTCCGCATGCGTCTCCCTTTCCCAGCACAACGTTTCGTGGCCCATAGGGAGCTCCACCGGAGGCCCCAGTGGCAAAGTCTGCATGCGTCTCCCTTTCCCAGCACAACGTTTCGTGGCCCATAGGGTGCTCAGGAGGCCCCAGTGGCAAAATCATCATGCGCCTCCCCCGCCCAGTGCAGCGCTTCGTGGACCCATAGGGAGCTCCACCGAATACGATACCCATAATTGCGGTATTCACATCTACGTATGGTTGGGTCCTTCGCCGGGATAGTGTTCGTTTTCCCTCGTTTTGTCTTCAATCCGCCTCTACCGCAAAACGACGTCGAAACGAAAACGGTCCACGAAATCGCCAAAACACCGTTTAGGTTCAGCCCTGGAGTCATCTCCGTTGTCCAATTCATCCTTTTCCTCGTGCTCCTTCATTCTCCAGGGGTCGGCGGGATAGCGTAATTAAGCCTCTCGAATCACATCGCCAGCCTTGCCTAAAGAATGGTGCATGGCGGGCACGGTGGATCCAAACAAAAACATAGTACTTCAGATCAGGGAGCATTGCCCGTGGCGTGTTCAGCCCATCTGCTTGCAAGTCTCCGCAGCCCAGTGAGCTCTTCAGAGCCTTGGGTGGCTCTGAGAGGAAGGTACAGAGATGACTTCAGCCGCAGTCGGCGACTCATCGTCTCCGCAGCCTCACCTGAGGATTGTCGCATAGTGGGCAGAAGCGTGCCTGCATGGAAAGCAATCAGGGCGCATCGCCCTTTACAAGTTAAGCCAACCCAAAATTCGCGTTCACCCTCTCTACGCACACTAGTCCAGCCATCCGCGAAAGCCTCAGCATTGTCAAACCTGCCGTACATAGTGATGCACTCTACAATTACTCGAGACGTACCCGGACAATTCACCACGCAAGGTGAATATGTACGTGAACGCTCCATACAAAAAAACATATCGCCAGATATGCGCGATCTGCATTGCCCTCATCTCCGCCGTGCCTCCCACAAACCAACGAAAAGCGCGGCCTCCGACTCAACTGGACCTCCAAGGCGCCAACGAAAATGGCGACAATTGGGCAGTTCGCTGCCACCCAGGGAGCAGCGAGGTCCCGTCTGGGCGCGCGTAGCCCCAGGCTCCACTGCACCTCCCCAGAGCCCACAATCGTGGCGACAGTTGGTTCTATTTGCAGCAACCCAGAGAGCATCGAGGTCCCGTCTGGGTGCGCGTGGCCCCCGACTCAACTGGACCTCCCAATTGCCCACGAGAGTGGCGACAGTTGTACAGTCTGCAGCCACCCCAGGAGCAGCGAGGTCCCGTTTGGATGCCCATACCCCCCGATTCCGGCGTGCCTCCCAGGAGCCCACGAAAGTGGCGATTGTTGCGCAGGTCACAACCACGCAGGGAGCTGCGAGGTCCCGTCTGGATGCGAGTACTCCCCGACTCCGACGTGCCTCCCAGAAGCCAACGAAAGTGGCAGTAGTTGCACAGTTCGCAGCCACCCAGGGAGCAGCGAGGTCTCGCCTGTTTGCGCGTACTCCCCGACTCCGCCGTGCCTCCCAGAAGCCCACAACAGTGGCGACAGCTGCGCGGTTCGCGGCCACCCAGGGAGCTGCGATGCTCCGTATGGATGCGCGTGCTCCCCGCTTCCGCCGTGCCTCCTAGGGGCCAACCAAAGTGGCGACAGCTGCACATTTCGCAGCCACCCAGGGAGCAGCGTCTCGTCTGCTGCACGTACTCCCCGACTCCGCCGTGCCTCCCAGTCGCCCAAGAAAGCGGCGTCAATTGCGCGAAACTGGGAACCACCTCAGGATCTGCGAAATCCCATTTGGGTCCAGGTACTCCGCTACTCCGCCGTGCCTCCAAGGAGCCCACGACGAGGTAAGAGAGAGTAAGCAGGGAGAGGAAGAGGGATCGGGAACCACTGTGCTCGATTCAAAACGAGAACCCCACACAGGAGGGTTGGGAATAAAGCAGGAGTGCTGGCTCTGATGTTGGGTATATACGACACCTGTACGTACCGCTATGCTGTGTCCCACTGCTGCCTTGTCCTCTGCTGTGTCTCTGCTCTCACCCTGCACACATTTGTGCCGACTTAGTAGTTCGTGTGTGCTGTGTGTATGCCTGCTCCGCGTTGATGATGGCGATGCTTGCTTTATGTGTGCTACGTGCTCCTGCTCTGTAAGTACAATGTGCTTGGGTGTGTATGTACCCGCTGCGGGCGAATCACAAACTTCATACATGTGTGTGTGTGCTTGTGCGCCTGCGTGTGTGTATGTGTGTATGTGTGTATGTGTGCATGTGTGTATGTGTGCATGTGTGTATGTGTATATGTGTTTATGTGTGTATGTGTGTATGTGTGCATGTGCGAAAATGTGTGTAACTGGGTGTATGTGCATGTGTGGATGTGTGCATGTGTGTATGTGTGCATGTGTGTATGTGTGTTTATGTATGCGTGTATGTGTGAATGTGTGCATGTGTATATATGTGCTTGTGTATATGTGTGTACGTGTGTGCGTGCGTGCGTGCGTGCGTGTGTATATGTGTGTGTGTGTGTCCGTGTGCGTGTGTGTCCGTGTGCGTGTTTTTGTGTGTGAAAGAGAGAGAGAGAGAGAGCGTGTCTAAACATAGTTCTTTCGATAACTGTGCCTCGCATACACTCTACTTCTACTTCGTGTTGTTCGGTTGCTGCTGTCGCGTGCTGCTCTCCATGTGGAATGTTATTCTGCTGCGGCGCGCAAAAGGATCTGCGGCCCCCCCCCGGCCCACCTGCCGCGGAAGACCTCCCCGAAACTGCCCTTGCCGATGCCCTGCCTGGCCGAGGTGCCCACCTGGTCCGTCGAGATGACGAAGGTGTCCTGCGGTGGGCCGGGAAGGGCGAGGACAAGAGGATGAGAAGTGCCTCTGGTGGCCCGCCCCCTCCTCCTCCTCCTCCTCCTCTTCCTCCTCCTCCTCCTCCTCCTCCTCCTCCTACTACTACTCCTCCTCCTCCTCCTCCTCCTCCAACTTCTCCTCCCCCTCCTCTTCCTCCTCCTATTCTTCCTCCTCCTCCTCCTCCTCCGCCTCGTCTTCCTCCTCCTCCTCCTCCTCCTCCTCCTCGAGGGCCCGCCTGGGAGCACTATCCAGAGGCCTGCAGAGGGACGCGTGGACCGCCTCTCCCCCTGTGGCTGCTTGCTGGCCCGCCTCTGTCCTCTCCTCTTCCAGCGCTGGGAGGGAGGAGGAGGAGGAGGGAACAGGAAGGCAAGGAGGCAGGCAGTGGAGGCCAGGGAGGAGGGAGGAGGGAGGGAGGAGGGAGGGAGGAGGGAGGGAGGAGGGAGGGAGGAGGGGGGAGGAGGGAGGGAGGAGGGAGGGAGGAGGGAGGAGGAGGGAACAGGAAGGCAAGGAGGCAGGCAGGGGAGGCCAGGGAGGAGGGAGGAGGGGGGAGGAGGGAGGGAGGAGGGAGAGAGGCAGGAGGACGCCACACCTCCTCCCGCTTCCTCCGCGACGACAACGCACCCCAGACCTATCCTGGCGCACGGTCCGGCCAGAATTTCGGGGCGGGCCCCGGCCGTTACCAACAGGGGCGCCCCCGGAGCCCCAAAGAGGGGCCAAAGACGCGCCCCAGAAGCATGCATCCGGAAAGCTCGATCTTTGACCCTCGTCCCTGGGGCGGAGACAATGACCACTTCGACGCCGACGCCCGTTGCGCCGCCTGGCCACCGGAGACGCCGACCGTGCCTTGCCGCCGCTGCCGAAGTCCGCAAAAGGCCGCCAAAGGCTGCCGAAGGTCGCCGAATGCCGCTCGCCGGCCGAGGGGTCCTCCCCAGTGGCCGCGGCCGCCGTCAGCGCGCTGAGGCTGGCGCAGCTGTCCAGGCGGAGCACCTGCGAGCGGGGGCCCCGTCTGCTGCTCGACCACGACTTGATCCCTCACTTCTGCCCTCCTGCAACTCCTCCTGGTCCTCCTCCTCCTCTTCTTCCTCCTCCTCCCCCTACTGTTCCTTTTCCTCCTCTTCCTCCTCCTCCTCCTCCTCCTCCTCCTCCTCCTCCTCCTCCTCCTCCTCTCCCCCTCCTCCTCCTCGTCGTCCTCCTCCTCCTCCTCCTCCTCCTCCTCCTCCTCCTCATCATCATCATCATCATCATCATCATCATCATCATCAAATTCCTCCTCCTCCTCCTGGTCCTCCTTCGCCTCTTCCTCATCATCCTCCTCCTGCTCCTCCTCCTCGTCCTCGAGCCATTGAGTTTCTCCCCCAACCATCCTGTGTTGGGTCCTCGTTTTGAAAAGGCAGCGCCCCGCGTTTTCTTCTTCTCCCCCTCTCCTCTTCCTCCCCCTCCTCCCTCCGCCCATGTGTGCTTCTGCCCTCCGCATGTACATTTCGGCACTATGCCCTCCGCATGCCCATGTCGGCACAACCCCTCACACGGTTCGTGGCCCTATAGGGAGCTCCACCCAAAACCCCACTGGCCGCGTTCACATGCGTCCCCCCCGCCCTCCGCATGCCAATTTCGGCACACCCGTCACACGGTTCGTGGCCCCACAGGGATTCCACAAAAAGCCCTCGTGACCGCGTTTACATGCGTCCACGCCGCCACACCCGTCACACGGTCCGTGGCTCCATAGGGATTTCCACCCAATGCCTCAGCGGCCGCGTTCACATGCGTCCACCTTGCCCACCGCATGTCTATTGCGGCACACCCTTCACACGGTTCGTGTCCCCATATGGGGCTCCACGCAAAGCCCCAGTGGCCGCGTTCACATGCGTCCACCCCGCCCGCCGCATGCCCACGTTGGCACAGCCCCTCACACGGTCCGTGGCCCCACAGGGATCCCACCCAAGGCCCAGTGGCCGCGTTCACATGCGTCCACCCCGCCCACCGCTTGTCAATTTCGGCACACCCCGCACACGGTCGGTGGCCCCATAGGGAGCTCCACCCAAGGCCCCAATGGCCGCCTTCACATGCGACGCGCACACCAATGTGGGCACACACCTCACGCGCTTCGTGGCCCCATAGGGAGCTCCACCCAAAGCCCCAGTGGCCGCGTTCACATGCGTCACGCACGCCCGTTTCGGCACACCCCGTGGCCCCACAGGGAGCTCCACCCAAGGCCCCAGTGCCACCGCCCGCAAGCGTCACGCAAACCCATGCCGGCACACCCGTCACACGTTTCGTGGCCCCACAAGGAGCTCCACCCAAGGCCCAGTGGCCGCGTTCACATGCGTCCACCCCGCCCGCCGCTTGTCAATTTCGGCACACCCCGCACACAGTCGGTGGCCCCATAGGGGGCTCCACCCAAGGCCCCAACGGCCGCCTTCACATGCGACGCGCACACCCAATTCGGCACATCCGTCACACGCTTCGTGCTTCCATGGGGAGCTCCACCGAAAACCCCAATGCCACCGCCCGCATGCGTCACGCACGCCCACGTTGGCACAGCCCCTCACACGGTCCGTGGCCCCATAGGGAGCTCCACCCAAGGCCCCAGTGCCGCCGCCCGCAAGCGTCACGAATGCCCATTCCAGCACACCCCTCACACGCTTACAGCGAGTTCCACCGAAAGCGCCAGTGGCTACGTTCGCATCCTCCCACCGCACCCATTCCGACACACCCATCACGCGTTTCGCGGCACCATAGCGAGCTCCACCGACGGCCCCAATGGCTGCGTTCGCATGCGCCCACCGCACCCATTCACACCTCTCGCTTTCTTCGTGGCCTCATACGGAATTCCACCGACAGCCCCAGTGGCTGGTTTCGCTTGCGCCCACCAGGCAAATTTGGGTACACCCCTCACACGTTTCGCGGCCCATAGGGAGCTCCTCCGAACGCAGTGCACACAACAACGGCACTCACAACTGCACGCGGTCGGGTCCTTCGCGCCAGGGTGTTGTTTCTTTTTCTTTAAAAAAAGTGAGGGGCTCACTTTTCTTCACGCCTCGCAAACGAGCCATCGACGGCCTGCCAGCGCGTTCTCTGAACACGGCAACCGTGGTCTCGAGACCCTCGAATGTCAGACTCTGGCCGGCTGAAACTCTCGAGTTTCGCATTCGATCAGCGCGAAGCCCGGCGGCCAGCTCCCAACAGCGTTTCCACTGGGGAGGGCAGGGAGGGCCAAGAGCACTACTCACAGAGAACAATCACAACAACGTTGAGATCAAAGGGCGCCGATCCTCTGTAAGCTGGACAAAAAGGCACGCGCGAAGTTGCTCCACAACCCTTCGGAACAACCAGCGGAAGCGCGGAAAGCCGGCGGGCAGCGTGGATGAAAAAGGGCGCATTGGAAGACAATCGAGGCCATCCCTGACACAGGAAGACGAGCCCCCTGATGGTGCGGAGCTCGGTCGTCAGGGCAGCTGAGAATCGGCCAGTCCTCGGCCCAGAGTCCACGATGAAGCTGTAGACGAAGTCCAGCGCGGCCAGGGCGCAGCGGCCAGCATAAAGTGGTTCACCACGTGCCCTGCGACGCGCCTCATAGCGTGGCCAGAGGCCACCCTGCGCCTGATGAGGCACTCCAGCGCTAGGTAGAGGCGCCAGGCCCGCTGCTCGACGATGGCGGACATTGCGCTGGCCGTCACCGAAGTCAACCACTATCCCGACAGTCTCAGCGACGCTGCAAGGCTCGAGGTGCCGATCACGACGAGTATCCAGCGCAGCGGCCAGCCCAGCACCAGCAGCTGCAGGCGCCAGGCCGATCAAAGCCCCGTTGTTGACGTAAGGGGCGACGAAAGGGCGGTCGAAGGCCAGCGCCAGCTGCGGGCGTCCTTCGCGAAGCAGGCGCGGACCAGCACCAGGTCCGACAGCATCCTCCAAGGCGCTGCTGAGCACCTGCTGGCAGAAGTACAAGCTCCAGGACCAGCCCATGGGCAGCCCACAGAACACAGGGTACACGCGCGAGTCGCCACTGCGAGGTCTCGTAGGACTGCGAGGTCTCGTCGTGCACGCGGGTGCAGCCGTGCCAGCTCGCCTCCCCAGGGAAGTCGAAAACGAAGTTCGAGGCCAGGTCCTGGTCCACGAGCTGGTAGAACCCATCTTTCAGGTCGACCCCGCTGATCGAGAGGTCAATCGACGAGGCGCCGACGCCATCGGAGACCAGGGCGTCGTCGGACAGGTCCAGGAAGCTGGGAGCACCAGAGGAGCCCAGCTCCACGTGGGGCGGTCGTTGATGGAAGGCGCTGGGCTTGCGGCCATCAGTCACGAGGCGGATGTCGCCATTTTGTTTGGCAGCGAAGAAGCAGCCGACGCGGTAGGCGATGCGGCGTCGCAAGGAGACGAACCCGAGGCGGTGCAGCGCCCGGATGAAGTCCCTCCTCCTGGTCGGGCTGAAGCGCAAGCTGGCGTCCCAGTACGGGCGGATCTGCGGAATCTCACCAGCATCCACCAGCCAGTCGGTTTCCGCGGCGGCCCGATGGATGGTGCCTCTTGTTGCCCAGCATATTGGCGCCCAAATTGTGAAGATGTCTCAGGCGGTGACCGGTTTGCATGCACAACAGTATCTGCTTTCGGAGCAGATTGTGAAGATGTCTCCGGCGAGGGGCTGGTTTCAGCAATCCCAGAGGGGAGCGTACCCAATCATACTGGGACTTTCGCACACTCATCACCTACTCGTGCTCGGACCTTGTCATACCTAGACTCACTCACACTCAAACTCAATCATACCAGGACGCACTCACACTCGTACGAATTCACACTCAGATCACTCACTCTCAGATCCACCAACAGCCTTCTCTTTAGGTGGTCCACTGCTCCCTCGCCCTTCCCTTAGAGAGGAGGACGAGGAGGAGGAGGAGAAGGAGAAGGAGGAGGAGGAGGAGGAGGAGGAGGAGGAGGAGGGGGAGGAGGAGGAGGAGGGGGAGGGGGAGGAGGAGGAGGAGGAGGAGGGGGAGGGGGAGGAGGAGAAGGACAGCAGTGGAGCCGTCGATGTCGTCGCCGTTGTCGCGGCGGTCGTCTTTGCGAACGCCCTCTCGCACCCCGATGCTCGCACCCGCGTGACGTGACAGGAGCATGCGATGCACGTCTAGGGGACATCTCCGCGCCGAGCAGTGTGCTGTTCTCGGCATGCGCCCCCGCAGGCCGTCCGAAGAAGAGGACTCGGGATGACGCACTGGCCCCGGGGAAGCTGCCCAGACCGCTGGGGGGCCCGGCAACCGAAACACTGGAGCGGCCGGACGTCTGGGTTGGAGTCGGGCCTGTCCCTCTACAGGGGAAATGTTCCACCAAAATAGTCAAAAAATGATGCGGGTACTATGTTTTGAATTGTTTTGCGACTATGTTATGGCATTTGTGTTTGAATATCTACAACGTTTCGCCCAAAATCCGCCTGTAGGGGGGCACGCCCGACCCAAGTCTGGGTCGAGGGCGAGCCAGGGGGGGAGGGGCGTGCTGGCAGGCTCCTCTCTCGGTTGGCTGTGCCCTCTGCCTGCTGTGCAGGGCCTCGGTGCTGCACTCGCCGAGCGCCGTCTTTGCACGCACGGCGGCACCACACATCCATCCATCCATCCATCCACTCACATATTCACGCACCCATCCACCCACCCACCCAACCTCCATCCGTCGCCAATCATCACGATCACCATCACCATCACCCATGTTGGGTGATATGGGGGCAGGGAAGGGAGGGGGGAGGGGCCCTGGTAAGGAGAAGGGGGATAATTTTTGTTGTGTCCCGTCTTGCGGCTGACGATGGGGAAGGGACGGATTGGGTGAGGAAGAAGGGACAAGGGACGCCGCCGCTGTCGTCACGACGACGTCGACGAGAGGTAAGAGAACGGCATCCTGACGGCAACGACGGATTAGAAGAAAACGAATCCTGTGGCGAACAAGTCCTGGACCCCGCACGTTTTTCGCCGTGTTTTGCCTCCCGGGGCCCGCGAAGGCCCCTGGAGGCAAAACACGGCAAAAAACTTGTGGATGTCATGACAACGCACATCCTACCAATGTGAACGTTTAGTTAAACATGGTTTTGTCATGTGTGAAGCATGTCTAGAACATTTTCGGACATCTGAAAATTATTTGGCAACCTGCTTCCTCTCCATTGATCGCCGCCCACAGCGAAAAACCTCGGGGGGCCGTTTCACCCAGGCACTTTGATGGTCAACGTCTCTCTCATTCGGCGTTTCGACATTCGGCGAAAAGGGGGGGAGGGGGGGTCTGGCTGCGGGCCTCTGCGTAGTACGGCTGTTTGGAGCAGTGCGTCCATCGTGGGGGAGACCCCACCTGCCTGAAAGAGGCGCCCAGAAACAGCCGAGATCTGCAACATGGGGGGGCGAAGGGGGGGGGCTGGGGGAGCCCGCGCCGATCGGCAAAACAGTGAATACGAAAACGCCCACACGGCGAAACGGCAGCAATTCGACGATCGATCGGCGACGGCGATCGGCGGCGGCGATCGGCGGCGGCGATCGGCGGCGCCGATCGGCGGCGGCGACAGGGGCCGCGACGCGGGCCTCGGGCCGCGGAGCAGCGGCCACGCAGCCCGGCTCCATGCTGCCGTAGCCTGGCTGCCCGCGCGGGGGGGAGGGGAAGAGGGAGGACGAGGAGTGGAGGGGGAGGAACGGCGGCCTCCTCCTCCTCCTCCTCCAACTTCTCACTATTTTCCTCCTCCTACTCCTGCTCCTGCTCCTTCTCAACATCCGGTCCTTCATAATATAGTCATTCGCGTTGTTAGTATTATTCGTCTTCTTATTATTATCATTGTTATTATTATCATTATTATTATCATTATTATTATGATTATTATTATTATTATTGTGAATACTTCCCCACATGTTTAGTGGGGTTTTGGTTTTCTTCACTGCCGCGCCGCACACCGCGTCTCTCACCTCCTCCTCCTCCTCCTCCTCCTCCTCCTCCTCCTCCTCCTCCTCCTCCTCCTCCTCCTCCTCCTCCTTCCTCACCCATCCCCACATGTTTCGTGGGGTTATGGTTTTTCCCCACATGTTTCGTGAGGTTTGGGTTCTCTTCCCTGCCGCGTCCCACCTGCGACGCTCACTCATTCACTCACCTCCCTCTTCCCCTCTTCCCTCTTCTCCTCTCCTCACCCACACGCGTCGCACCCGCGGCTTTAACCTCGCCTCCCTCCCTGCCACCTCTCCTTCTCAAGCAGCACAGCATAACACAGCGCAGCGCAGCACAACACAGCACAGCACAGCCTAGCAAAGCTCAGCACAGCACACAGCTGCACATCACAGCACAGCGCAGCACAGCACAGCGCAGCACAGCACATCACAGCACAACACAGCTGCACATCACAGCACAGCGCAGCACAGCACAGCGCAGCGCAGCACAACATCTATGCGGGCCATGGCGCAGGGCGTGGCAGGTGTGGCACGTTCTCGATCTCGTAGGGGGTGCGCTGGGGGTGGTCTCCGAGCGCGGCGTCGATGCGGGCCATGGCGCAGGGCGTGGCAGGTGTGGCACTATCTCGACCGCGTAGGGGGTGCGCAGGGGGTGGTCCCCGAGCGCGGCGTCTATGCGGGCCATGGCGCAGGGCGTGGCAGGTGTGGCACTTTCTCGATCTCGTCGGGGGTGCGAGGGGGTGGTCCCTGAACGCGGCGTCTATGCGGGCCATGGCGCAGGGCACGGCCGGTGTGGCACTGTCTCGACCTCGTGGGGGGTGCGCAGGGCGTGGTTTCCAAGCGCGGCGCCTATGCGGGCCATGGCGCAGGGCGTGGCAGGTGTGGCACTTTCTCGACCTCGTACGGGGTGCGCGAGGGGGTGGTCTCCGAGCGCGGCGTCTATGCGGGCCATGGCGCAGGGCGTGGCAGGTGTGGCATTTCCCCCACCCCGTAAGGGGTGCGCAGGGGGTGGTCTCCGAACGCGGCGCCAATGCGGGCCATGGAGCAGGGCGTGGCAGGTGTGGCACGTCCTCGAACTCGCAAGGGGGTGCGCAGGGGGTGGTCTCCGACCGCGGCGTCTACGCGGGCCATGGCGTAGGGCATGGCAGGCGTGACACGTTCTCGACACCATAAGGGGTGCGCAGGGGGTGGTCCCCGAGCGCGGCGTCTACGCGGGCCACGGCGCAGGGCATGGCAGGCGTGACACTTTGTCGGCACCACAGGCGGTGCGCAGGGGGTGGTCCCCGAGCGTGGCGTCTATGCGGGTCATGGCGCAAGGCATGGCACGCGTGGCACTTTCTCGACATCACACGGGGTGCGCAGGGGGTGGTCCCCGAGCGCGGCGTCTATGCGGGCCATGGCGCAGGGCGACGCAGGCGTGGCTCTCGACACCAGAAATGGTGCGCAGGGTGGGTCCCCGAAAGCAGCGTCTATGCGGGCCATGGCGCAGGGCATTGCAAGCGCGGCGCTTCCTCGACACCAGAAAGGGTGCGCAGGGGGTGGTCCCCGACGACGGCGCCTATGCGGGCCATGGCGCAAGGCATTGCAGGCGTGGCGCTTTCTCGACACCACTGGGGGTGCGCAGGGGGGTGTCCCCGAGCGCGGCGTCTATGCGGGCCATGGCGCAGGGCATGGCAGGCGTGGCACTTTCTCGACACCGTGGGGGGTGCGCGGGGGGTGGTCCCCGACCGCGGCGTCTATGCGGGCCACGGCGCAGGGCACAGCAGGCGTGGCACCTTCTCGACACCATAGGGGGTGCCCAGGGAGTGGTCCCTGAGCGCGGCGTCTATGCGGGCCATGGCGCAGGGCATAGCAGGCGTGGCACTTTCTCGGCACCATAAGGGGTTCGCAGGGAACGGTCACCAGCATCATTCTCACATGCTTCACCTTAGGTATCACCACTCCAGCCATCATAGAAGTATCTGGGGTTCCTCGGTAGGGTAATTGTATGCTTATGTTCCTTGTTAATCCTATCATGTGTGTTATCCTTATCATTTCTCCTCCTCCTCCACCTCATTCTCCTCCTCCTCCCCCATTCCTGTCCTTACAGATTACTCCTCCCTGTCACACCCCAAGGCCAGTCAAAAGGGAGGGCGGGGCGATTCGCAGTGGACTTCCTCAACAGTTGCGCCCCTTATCGCGTAAAACTGAAAACAGCTTCATCAATGGAGGGCGGCTCGTTTCCAAATTGTGGCTGTCGTCGTAGCGCTATGCGCATTTTTTTACGCAGGGGTTTTACGCATTGAGGGCGGGTCGCTTACAAAATGCTTGCAAACGGTAATGGTGCACACAGGCGCCGTGGTGTACACAGGCGATGTGGCGCACGCAGCCTCTGTGGTGCACACTGGCGCTGTGTTTCACACGGCTACCCTGCTGCACGCAGGCGTCGTGGTGTGCACAAGCGCTGTGGTGCACGCAGGCACTGTGGTGCACACTGGCGCTGTGTTGCACGCGGTTGCTGTGGCGTACATAGGCCGTGTGGTGTACACAGGCGCCGTGGTGCGCGCAGGCACAGTGGTGTACGCGAGGGCTGTGTAGCTCCGCAAAGGCTCCCGCAGTTGTTGTTGTGGCCCGCGTAGCTCAGGTCGTGGCCCTCGCAGCTCGGCTCTTGGTCCTCCTGGGTCTGCTTGTGGACCACCCCCTCGGCTGGTGGTCTCGTAGCTCTCGTAGCCCGGCTCGTAGCTCTCGTAGCCCGGCTGTGGCTCTCTCGCCCTCTCCTGGGTCTGCTGTGGACCACCCCCCGGTGGTCCTCGCAGCTCGGCTGGTGGCTCTCGTAGCTCAGCTCGCAGCTCAGTGTCGTCCTCTTCCTTCAGGCCGTGCTCCTCGCAGTCCTCCTCTTCGTCGGCGTTCTTCGTATCCTCCTCGTCTGCATGCTTCTTGATCTCTTCCTCTTCTGGCTCCTACGCCTCCCCGTGGTCCAAATCGGAGTCGCCGGCTGCCAAGTCGTAGTGCTTTGCGCTCCAGTTGCTCCTCCATCCTCCTCCAACTCCTCCCCCTCCTCCTCGTCATGCTACTAGTCCTGCTCATCGCATCTCCCCATTCTCCATCATCTCCAGGAGAAGAAGAATCAGAAAAACAAGAAGAAGAAGAAGAAGAAGAAGCATGGAGGAAGGATATATGATGAGGACAGAGGGGACGGGGA